GAAGGGAAAATTAAGCAGTTAGAAACATTTCAGGCAGAACATGACAAATATCAAGCATCACTAAGTAAAATCAGAGCTATGGATTTGCAAATTAAGAAAAGGGCTGAAGAAGTACTAAAAGCTCCTGATACTTCCCCAGAATTTAATCCACTCAATGCTCAAATTTTGAATCAGAGAATTGAGAAAGCCAAGTGCTTATATGATGAAATACTAAAGAACTTAAATGAAAATAAGGCCTTTGATGACTCATTCAAAGAGGAAGAAATACTACAAATAAAGCGAAATGCAAAAGAAAATGATGAGTTACACAAGGCTCTCCAAAACATGATACTACACTTCCGGCCAAAAGAAATGGATAAAAAGAATTTTCAGGACAAATTAGAAAATTCCATACATGTTTTAAATCAGATAAAATCTCAATTGCAGCAGCCTTTACTTATAAATTTGGAAATTAAACATATTCAAAATGAAAAGGATAATTGTGAAGCATTTCAGGAACAAGCTCAGGCAGAAATGTATGGTATTAAAGCTGTGACGCCTATTGAGAAGCAAAGAGAAGAAGAAAACTCTTTTGAAGCCAGTGATGTGGAGACAAAATTACGTGACATCGAAGACCTTCAAATGCAGCTTAGCACAAGCATTGATTTGCGCACAGTAAGTTTTTAAAAAATTAAGCAGTTCGTGCATCCGTTTTTATTTCATGACTTTATGTTTTGCTAGTTAATATCTGTACTTCTAAGAAGTTACGTGTTCTATGGGAAAGTTCTGTACAGGATAGCTACTTTGAAAAATTGCAATGAGCCAGTTATAATCCTGACTCATTTTATACCTAAATGCAGCACCTTAATGTGTGGAAAAGGACAAATCTGATCCCTTTATTTCTATTTCCCTTGTAGCCCCTATTGAGCTTAGAACAAAGTTTTTTGGGTTTTTTGTTTTTAGAGATAGTAAGATACAGTGGAAGAAGTATGGTGTATAAGGAAGAACACCAAATAATGACTAACATTTATTTAGATTTTAAAACTTCAGGTGTTCTAGGCATGGTGCTAAATGCTTCATATTTAATCTATCAACCCAAATGAATGACTGAGGCAAAAAT